AAGACCAAAGTCCAGCTATCAGGAAACTTCTGTATTTAATAGTGCCATTTTCAGTTTTGTTTAGACTCTCATTCTTTCTGATCCTGAAAATAGCACGTTTCAGATCTACTGCAAGCAAATTCAATTTAATTTGGTAAATCTTTATAGAAAGACGATTTTGGCCCTGAGAGTGAGTGCTATACAAGACTCTTAACTTTAGGATCATGCAACATCATGGAGGAGCCTGAAATAGATTTAAATTGTTATGACACAAGAGAGATTATGATAAATGCTCTTGATACAGGGGTGGAAACAACTGCATTCTTCTGGGAGTCCCAGGGGAAGCTCCTTATCATAGAAATGTAATAATGAAAGAGACCTTAAGTGGTCATCTGGGGAGATTCACAAATCTTACCGGAAGTTTTAGAAATACAGATTCACAAGGCACTACTCCAAACTTCTCAAATCAGAATTTCTAGAATGAAGGGGTCAGGAATCTGAATCTTTCAAAAGCTAGCCTCGTGATTCTGACGATCAACTAGGCTTTGGGAACTACTGTTCATACAACCCTCCCCACTCGATGGATTCCCGGAACAAGATTCCTTCAGGGGTTTTGTTTAGTTTTCTCTGGAACACTGCAAGCTCAGTGCCTCACAAGACAGCCAGCCCTTCATGGAAAATGTAGTGTGTAGGCTTTGATTGTCAGAGATGGAGGGTAAGGATATTTGAGGCACAGCAACTATCAGAAATCACCAGGAAACAGAAGGAGATAAGTTTGGAGTGGAAACATGAAGCCCTAGGTCCCATTATGGAGTGACTTGAATATCAAGCCAATGAGTTTCAGCTGCATCCTTTTTGAGATGTAGACCCTTGATAGAATTTAGTCATCACTGGGTTTAAAGAATCTGCCAAAGCAGAATGGATTGGAGATCAAAGAGATTGGAAATAGGGAGAAGAGCTAGAAGTTTCCTTTAGGAGTTCAAGTGAGGAGTAATAAGGACTTGGGTCAGAAGCAGTAAGAAAGGCAAAGTGGAGGAAATTATGAGCCGTGCCGCAGGGATAGTCCTACAGAGCTTGAACGACTGGGGCCAAGGAAGAGTCAAAGCTGATTCTGGGGTTTTGAGATTCTGGAATGCTGGAATATTAACCAGAATGAAGACATTAGGATTGAGATCAGGTTGGGAAGGCAGACGGCAAATCAGGCTTTTGACATTTGGAATGCATTTGTTTCCATCACCAACTATCTTAATTCGTCACTTGTCCCAGGACAGAGCTTAGTTATGACTCCCTTTGTATGTTCAGAGGTTGGCATAGAATAGGCCCTCAAAACATTTGGTGAGTTAATAGCCACTGTAAATATCTTTCCCTCTCTGCTTCAGTTTAGGATCTTATTTCTCACTTAAATAATTGCAAGTTCCCGACACCATACCGCTGTCTTTGTGTGAATTAGAACAAGGTGCCCTCTCTGAATTTATGAATTTAAAAAGGGGGCTTTTATTTGGGTGGATGCAGCTCTTTGTCCACTTGGGGCTTGGGAAGCCATGCACACCTTTGTGGGAAGATAAAGACTGCCCTTCCTGTAGGGCAAAGCCTTCCACTCAAGGATGGAGGACAGGGACAGCTCAGGGCAGAGGTGGCTTCAGACCACACTCTTCTCCTCAGATGCCACAGGGTGCCCTGGAAAAGTCCCCCAGCTAGTGCCCTTGATCCTGCTCTGCCATTTCTATTTCACTCAAGGAGATATTTTTCTAAAATGTCACCATATTACATTCTGCTTCAAACCTTTCTTTGTTTCCCCAAGACCTTCAGGATAAAGTTCAAAGTTCTTAGAACAAAAGTCCATTGGTGACTGCAAGCCTCTTCCCCGGTCACTCTCCTTCACAGTCCTCCTCTCTAGTCACAGTTCCCAAATGGGCAAAGCACAAGCAGCTTCACCATGTTGCGTTTCCCTCATTCCCTGCCCAGCTATTACTGCTCTCACTTTCCTGCCTGTGACTGTCCTGCCTTCCTGTCTATGACCTCCTTGAGGACTAAGAATGTGTTTTGTTCATGTCATTTCCCTAGCACCAGTATGCCGGCACCCGGCTTATGCTGGTTGAGTGGACAAATGACTTAGAAACCAATGAAAAGCCAGATTTTACCACCATACCCCTCCCCCCAAACCAAACCAAAAAATCAAAATAGAACAACACAAAACAAATACCCCCCACACACCAAACAAATATTTTTTTAAAAAGTTTTTGCTGCTTTCTAAGCATGAGGTATTCTGTCAGTTGTCAAAGCCTTTTATTTTCCATACTTTTCTGTAATCTTGAAATGGCCATTCGTTTAGAGGTCAAAGATCTATGGGAAGATAATTGCTTGGAATGAAGTTGAGGCTTCCTTCCAAGGCTGGCTTGCTCTGGAGGGTCTGTGTGTGTGATCTCTGCGAGAAGCTTTACAAAACAGCACAGAGATTCAGGTAACATTCTTGACCTCGTTGAAAACATTCTCTTTGAAGCTGGAGGACTCTGTCCATTTGCCTGAGATAGAATGCCATCGGCAATGTCTCAGACGGTGGTTTTACTTGTTCCAAATGCCAGGACAGCCCAACTTTGAAATGTTGATGTAGTCTGTCAATAGGGCTTGCCTGGAACTTCCAGGCCAATTTATATTTATTTTTTCTGGGTGTATTCCTCTGCTTTCCACAAAGAATGTGAAGAAACTGTGAGAATGTGTTCAATAAAAAGAGAAATGTTTTGATGTATACTATCACTTGAACTTTAACCTAAATATCACAAGTAGGCAAAATATGACGTTGGAGATCCAGACAGGGAGGTGAGAGGTGCGCCGCACTCCTGTAGACCCACACATTGCAATGGTCGACCCCGCGCTCTTTTGGGACAACACAAAAATGGAAGCTTATTCTGTTGCATAGTTCTCATCGTCTATAACAAAAAACAGTAATTATAGTTTTTCTTCATAGAAACCACGATGTTAATAATGAGGAGAGATACGGCTCAGGGCAGAAGTACACACACTAAATGTTTATTTTTCTATCCTTTTGGCAGTCATTTAAAAATATTTTCTATAATTTCAGCATTAATAGTTTTCATAGATCTTTTACAGCTAGTCTTTATAGTTTCTTTTAGTATTTTAGGCTTTACTCTTTTCGTTGGGTTTTGAAAATAAGTGAGTAAGTCATTACCAATTTTAACATCTATTTATGACTATCAACTATTACACAAGAATTGGGCTCTACACACTGATTTTTTTTTTCATTCTTTCCCCCCTCCACACCCTGTATGTTACACATGCTTTTTTTTTTTTTTTAAGATTTTATTTATTTGCGAGAGAGAGAATGAGAGACAGAGAGCATGAGATGGAGGAGGGTCAGAAGGAGAAGCAGACTTCCTGCTGAGCAGGGAGCCCGACGCGGGGCTCGATCCCGGGACTCCAGGATCATGACCTGAGCCGAAGGCGGTTGCTTAACCAGCTGAGCCACCCAGGCGCCCAATGTTACACATACTTTGCTCATAGGAATAACTAGCTAGAAATAAGTGTCAGTGGAACTTGCTTTTTTTTTTTTTAATTTTTTTTTTAATTTTTTTATTGTTATGTCAATCCCCATACATTACATCATTAGTTTTAGATGTAGTGTTCCATGATTCATTGTTGGAACTTGCTTTTTAATTTTGGCTTGGAGTCTATGATAAAGTGTTACCTTATCTTCCAGACAAAAACTTGAATTTCTGAAGACCAAAGTGTTCTCCAAGTGCAAGGCATAATGGTTATAATGAGGATATTAATTCATATCTTTGATTTATGCTGTAATAATAAAAGTATTTTCCATTTTCCACAAACGATATCTCTTTGGAATATGCCTTATATTCACTTTCTATAAAATTAAGTTGATATAGCATCCATATTATTGATATCAAAATAGTCTTTCCTCCCTCCTTTCTTTAAATATCTGTTGAATGGCTCATGGGAAGCTTAGAGAGACCTACTTGCCCACAGAAGAAACAGAATTCTGCCTTAAACTTCCCCTCCCCAGCATCCCCATGTCCTTCCGTACAGCACTGGGTTTACCATGTATCCAGTAAATATTTGTCAATCTGGACTTGACTTTATAAATCATTTCATCATTTATTTCATTTTGTCATTTATTTCAGTGCTCAAGGGTGAGTAGTGTCCATCTACTAGTAGAATACTCTTACTTTCTAAGTTCTGAGTCCCGCCCCTGACCTCAAAGGAAGGAACAATCTATTTCAATCTATTCATTTCTTCATTCACACAAAAATTATGTAAGGGGACAAGGAAAAGTGGAAGGAAGGGGAAAAGTTCAGGATACTCTTCTGCTTCTTTTCTGCTATGCTTAAAATTAATCATGTAAATGCTTACTAAATTTGCCTTAAAAGATCAAAGGAGAAAAAGATTGTAAGGCTGTCTATCTAGTACAGTGTCTGACGATAGGAGATGCTCAATATTTATTACAATGCAGTGTACTAAAACCAGAGGATCTCACTCCTTTTTTTTTTTTAAAGATTTTATTTATTTATTTGAGAGAGAGACTGAGAGAGAGAGAGAGCACGAGAGGGGGGAGGGCCAGAGGGAGAAGCAGACTCCCCGCCCAGCAGGGAGCCCGATGTGGGACTCGATCCCGGGACTCCAGGATCATGACCTGAGCCGAAGGCAGTCGCCCAACCAACTGAGCCACCCAGGCGCCCGGATCTCACTCCTTTATTGTTACATGACCACCATCCCATTTTCTTCTTTTCTCTCTTTCATTTCAAGAACGGTCTGTGTGTGCTTCTTTATATCCATGGATATTTGCACAACGGTTCAATGCTTAGTTACTCAATAAAGTGCAGATGAGAAATTAAGTCCAACATTTCCCTCCAATCTCTTCTCTTACTTAAGACACCTCAGGGAAGGGATACAGGAACTCCTACATCAACGGATGATGATTTTTATCTTTATCAAGTGACCCACAATTTGGTTACTGGTGCAATGAGAAATTAAGAAATTAGCACACTTTTATGACTGTCATTTCACAGTCACTCAAATCAGAACTGGAATGCTACAAAAACAACTCCCTGTTAGCCCAGAGGAAAAAAAAAGAAAGAAAGTAAAGGGGAAATTCAGATTAGTCACAAAGAAGTTCCCCCGCCTGCCTGCAGAAGCTGCAGTGTTAAAACTGAGAGAGTGCGTTCTGCTCTTTCAATCGCCTCTTATCTCTGGTCCTGGGACCTCTGTGTATTTTCTGATTGATAAGCTTTGTTTTCCCTTCATCTCCTTCTTTGTGGAGAAGAGGTCAGTCCCCCTCAGGCTCCCCTTTACCACAGTTTTCATCTTCCTTGCATCCAAACTGTGAAGATGGAAGGGGTCCAACCCCTGGATGAGAATGTGGGAAACACACCAGGGCGAAGATTCCAGAAGAACAAGCTATTGCTGGTGGCAGCCATAATTCAGGGGCTGGGATTGCTCCTGTGTTTCACCTACATCTGCCTGAACTTCTATGCTTCCCAGGTAAGATCGATGCTCCTGTGGGCACTTTGTTTCCTCCAGCTCATGGTGATGGCAGCTCCAGCAGCTCCAGTCACTTGGAAATAATCTGGTGCCAAAACTGCTCATTGCCCTTCATCTGCCCCCCAGCGATTGTATAAAGTGTGGACCCTCTTGTCTCTCCTTTCCTTCCTTCTTTTCAGTAGTGGCAGTGGTGGGGCAGAGTAGAGGTAGGTAGGGCAAGGGCACGGCTTCTGGATTCTTCTTCTTCTTCTTTTTTTTGCAATGCAAGAATCCTGGTATTCCTTTATGAGCTCTCACTTTGAAGCTTGGAGTCACTGATACACTTGCTTTACCCATTCTGCTAGCAAGCAACTGATCAGGGAATTTATATAAAAAGGAAATAAGAAATGGACCAGTTCCACTTTCCCACTGTATTCATAAACCCCATAGGCGATTTGCTTTTTGAAGAATGCTGAAGGTATCAATATTAAGTCCTTTAAATAGCTAACCTATGGACTTTAAGGGCAGAGAGGTGTATGTTCAAGTGTGTATTCACACATGGCCAAATACACCGATAACTTAATCAGAGATTATTTTTCAGTCTTTCTCTGCCAGTCACAACTTATGGACATCACTTTGTCTTTTTCCACTTTTTTTCCAGTGCACTATGTAGTGAGTGATCATTTTTCTAAGTATTTCTCCCATTTTTTTTATTTTTTTATTTTTTTTAAAGATTTTATTTATTTATTCATGAGAGACAGAGAGAAACAGAGGGAGAAGCAGGCTCCCAAGGAGCGGGAAGCCCGATGCGGGACTCGATCCCAGGACCCCGGGATCATGACCTGAGCCGAAGGCAGACGCTTAACCATCTGAGCCACTCAGGCGCCCGTATTTCTCCCATTTAATGAAGATATTCTTTCCCTTTTTCCTTCTCTTTGTTCTGGTTCCTTCTACATTATTTTTTCTTATTTACTTGTTTATATCTACAAACATTACTAGGTCTTTAAGGATGTTCTTGGCTGCAGGAGATTCCACTGAAAAGAAAATAAATGTATAGTCTTCCCATGTTCCCTTGGTGGGGCTAGTCTGATAATTCTTGTTTCCTTGGCAGGTCACTTTAGGTTAGGAAAGTCTTTCTCTGGTAAAGGTGAGACAAAAGGAACTTATTCTGATAGCCATGTCAGAGACTGGGTACCTCAAATTAGACCAGGATAAGATAAGCAGAGTCCTAACCAATGCCTGGGCTTGTCTTTGTCTACAGGAAGTAGGGGTTTTTGGTGCACAGAGGCTGGTGGGAGTGTGGTTGTGATCAGTGTACCGCAGAGAGGGCTCATGTTCCTAAATTCCACAAGTGTAGCTGGTGTCGTGTCAAGTCTGCAGACCAATGAGCACAGCAATGTGCCAGTCCTCTCTTGGTCTTGTCACACATTTCCTTCACTGTGCAGAGCCCCTTGGATGAAATTAGATTAGGCAATTAGGGGGGAGGGGAGGGGGAGGAGTAACGTGTCCATGGCAGGATGCCTAAGACATAGACCGGAATTAGGCTTTTCTGAGAAGAAAACAAAGAGAATGACCAAAAATAGAACAGCTGAGTGCATTCACCAGGTCTGGGAGCCCTGAGAGTGCTTTTCCTTACACTGTGGGGTGATAGAAAGACAGGACAGATGGCCCCAGTCAAGGCTCAACAATTGCACTGGGGCTCTGAGCAGGAAAGACGAAAAGGTGAAACAGATATATAGCCAGCTGGTGGCGGGACCTCCCCAGACTGTTAATACCTAGGAGATGCTGAGAAGGAGAGGGGTCCTTTCGGCAAGTCACTCAGTGACTCTGTGACAGAGCCTGGAGGGAAAGCTAAGTGCGGGTTTCCAGGATGCTAGAATTCAGTGAGCCAATCTCTGGGAGGGAATTAGCTTTCTCTGGTCCTGGCACAGAAATGGAAGCAAAGACATAAGAGGTATGTTAGAGCTATTTGCTCAAGAAATGTGCTCTCATATACTTGGGGTACAGAATTTTTTTGGCACAGATATTTGAAATTCTTCACTTCACATCACCTTTAATTTTTTTTTATTTCTTAGCTAGACTGGTGTAGCTAACATAATTTCTTGTCCTGTTGTAGGACCCAGGGCAGCACAATGTGTCTTTACATTTAATCTCATGTAGTCTGTTAGGGGGAAGGATAGCATAGATGGGTCATGTGTGTTCTCCCTGGAATTTGATCAAATGGTGGTGGTGGTAGTGTGTGTGTGTGTGTGTGTGTGTGAGAGAGAGAGAGAGAGAGAGAGAGAGAAGGGTGTAATGTAGCTGTTGAAAAAGGGACATAGACTGGTAGCCTTCCCAAACTTATTGATAAGACTGGAATTTTGGACGAAGGATGGGGTTGGTGGTGATATAAATCAAACCTCTACTTTTATAAAACATAATATTCCAGTGATGTGCCTTAGGGGTGAAATTAAGCTGAAATGCTGATCATTTGTCCAGTTAAACTGGATCTCTCTTATTGTAGGAAAACATATTTGGAGAACAATCATGGTTTTTCCTTATTTCCTAGATTTAACTTTTAGCTTTATAAAATAACTGCCTACATGTACAGCTCTGTAAAAGAAAAAAAATACAGATATAACTATTAAACTTCATTTGACAGGAGACTTTCCCTTCAATCAAATTTATTTAATAACCTTTGTTTTCTCACAACTCTGTTAAGTTGTATTTACTTATGTGAAAAGCAGAAGTTTTAGTTCTTGAGATACTAGAAAAAAAGATAGGTCTTACCCACTACTCCTGTAACTTCCCTCTTTGGGCCTTGATTTACTCATTTTAACACAAGACAGTTGGATCACATGATCAGAAGATCTCTTCCAGCTCAATATCCTGTGAGTATGTAGTTTATATATATATTTGTAGAATGGGTGTGAGGTTTTGAGAAATACAAAATATAAGTAAATAGATTTTTGGGTCTAAGCTTATGAATTTCCTGCTTCTTAAGAAAGGACTGGAGGAGATAAATTTTGCACATATATATATATTTTTTATTAAAGATTTTATTTATTAGACAGAGAGAGAGATAGCAAGAGAAGCAGGCTTCCCGCAGAGCAGAGAGCCTGATGCGGGGCTTGATCCCAGGATCCTGGGATTATGACCTGAGCCGAAGGCAGATGCTTAATGACTGAGTCACCCAGGCGCCTCTGCACATATATTTGTAATGTGTACTTATATATCATATATAAATCATATATATATCATACATAAAATATCATATATTTATCTATATCACCTATTCTGGGTTAGCTAAATGCCTTACTTAGAAAGGGGAAAGAAGTGGATGCCCTAGAAGAATATCCATGATACAAGTTATAAAACTGAGTGTTTCTGTCACCCAAACCAATACACATTGTTTGGATATTTATTGGGACTGCCATTTAAAGTATCAGGCTCCTAGTTGTACCTGTGGTGTCAGCTGGGAACAATGGCAGAAAAGAGCTGACCTGTAATGTGTGAAGCTTTCGTAAATTATATCCATGTGGGACGCCAGGGTGGCTCAGTCGGTTAAGTGTCTGCTTTTGACTCAGGTCATGGTCCCAAGGCCCTGGGATTAAGCCGCGTGTTGGGCTCCCTGCTTGGGCGTGGAGCCCATGTCTTCTCCCCTCCTCATCTCCTCCCCTCCACCGCCACCGCTTGTGCTCTCTTGCTATCTCTCTTCCCCCCCCCAAAAAGAAAAAAAATTATATCCACGTGTCTCAGGGCTTTTGAAGGTAGGGCTTTTCTAAGATGTGTACCATCTTTACAGTAGCACTTTATGTATGTGAGGGCTTTTATTGATAATTCTTCAGCAAATCCCACAGTGAAAGATTTATACTCTTACCACTTTTACTGCTGGGAAGAACAGAAGTAGGGGTACTTGGAAAGTGAGTGAGTGGTTCTGTACCAATGATGCCCAGAATTAGAACTCGGTTTCTTGATGAAGTTTCAGGCTAAAACTTGGATTTTTATTTGTATCAATTAGGAAGAAAAAGAGGTGTTTTTGCCTGAAGAAGTCTTATTTCAGATTAGCTCAATTTATTTTTTTATTTTATTTTTTAAAGATTTTATTTATTTATTTGACACAGTGAGAGAGGGAACACAAGCAGGGAGAGTGGGAGAGGGAGAAGCAGGCTTCCCGCGGAGCAGGGAGCCCTATGCGGGGCTTGATCCCGGAACCCTGGGATCATGACCCGAACTGAAGGCAGACGCTTAACAGCTGAGCCACCCAGGTACCCTGAGATTAGCTCAATTTAAATGCGTCCCCCATGTAATCGAACACATTTTTTAGAAATTCTTCTTTTAAATGACAGGCAAATAAGTGATTTCCAATACATCTGAGTTTGCATTTCATAAACAATTCTGTGAGAATGAAAAAGAAACGTCTGAAGTGTTGAACTGAACTTGTCATTAAGTATTTTCAGGTTTTCAGGGTAAGTACTGATAAAAATACAGAATTTTTGGATTTTTGAGCAGGCATTAGACATAGTCTATTTACAGATAAACCCCCAGAAACTCAGAGATGGTAGAAGCTGCAGGAACAGGTAATGCTTCAGCTGATTAGAAGGAGGAGTGGAAATTCTTTAAATGGACAAGAGAGATGGTGGCCTTGGACAGGGTCAGAAGGCTTCCTCAGTAGAACCGCAATTTGTTCAGAGTGGTTGAAGTTGAGTGTTCATAGGGGAAAGTGGCAAAAGGTGAGGGCCAAAAACCTAGGCGGGGGCAGGTCACAAAGGGTCTTGTGAGTCATGCAAAGGGAGCACACTTTATTCTATGCAAAAGAGAATACAGGGCAAATTACTAAAATTGTTGCTTCTCCAAATTTCGCTTCTCTCCTGTGGTCTATGTATTGACAAATAAGAGAGTGAGTCAAATCTCTTACAGCACTAGGGGGCACCACAGTAAAACTAACCATTCTCAGATTTATTGTTTTTTGTTGTTGTTTGTTTGTTTGTTTGTTTGTTTTAAAGAGAGCCTACTCTCTTTTCCTGAGGAGCTAAGATTAG